GCTAACACGTAATTAACATATCTCACAAGCAAATCCTGTTACTAAGCATCTTAACGTCCAAGGTGTTCATCGTAAAAGCTAAAAATCATGGACGATGAATTCATAGGAAAAATTAGTGAAAATGGACCTATCTTAGCTTTTTTTTGATAAACTCCTATGAGCAGAGCTAACATAAAAAATGCTTGTCAGCTTTGCTCATTTTTTCTATCCTTTAACCTTTTGTAAATCTATAAAGTTTAACTCAAGGTAACATCAAGTTTAGAAGTCTTTCTATTAAATGAAATAAGTTTCAAGGATCTGTTCTGCCCACTCTAATGTTTCATGAGTTCCGCTATACATTTTAGAAAGTTTATCCACTATATTTTTAAATTCAGGATTTTGTGTACAAGAATGCTCTTCAATATCACGAAGTATTTCTTTTTCTAGATCATAGTTTATTTTATCTTGACTACGTATTTTCTTTGCAGTAGTGCCAAGCAACCAATATCGAAATTCTGAATCAATGCAGTGTAACCTTTGCCACATATTAGTAAGTTTAGCAGTACCTCCTGTTAAGTAATTCTCATAAATTTTGCTGATAATTTCAGGATGCTGATCTTGAAGAAAATTGAACATTACTAACCCAACTGAATAATTGTCACTTTCCGTGAGATCAGATGGGGAATTATTTATAAAACGTATATCTTTAGCAAAGACTGTCTTAATACCATCCATTATTCCTTTTTGACATGGAGTATTGCATACATTTTCATCTAAGAGCTCACATGAAATTCCCATTGCAGTACCCTCTTCCAGCAATTTTAACGGAGGTAAATCTTTATGCTTTGTCATCTCTTGCATACAGTGTACAAACTCATGAGAGAGAGTAAGATAGTTAATTTCAGACGAGGGAAGAAACTTCATTAACACATCAGGAAGTGCAAATGGTTCACTTAGTTTACTAATAGTAAGTCCCATCTCGTCCGATGTATCTTCCTCCCTTCCTAAATATACTTTACGTACATTATTGTATTGACTACTATCTTCAAACAGAAACATACGGAAGTTAAAATCTGTATTGTTTGGAACAATTTTATATTTCTGACATAGTTTAAAAGTGTCATTTATAACTTTTTCAATTTCTTCTAGTTGTGCATCAGTGATATCTGAATGAAATAACTCTACTTTAATATCACTTCCTTCAACATTAATTGTATGTTTAGATGGAAGAATTGCGCTTATTTTAGTTTCAATATCATCTCTTGCTTGATAGTCTGGTTTGACTTTAAAAAGGTCTATACTTGAAAAAAGATTTATTTCATCAATAAAAAAACTCATATTAGCCTCTCATAAATTATTTAGGTGCAATATAGAGGGTGAAAGTTAATATGTAATGAATATGAAATTGCGGATACT